CCCCGTGTGTTACAGACGTGCTGACGACGTGGTCCTCGGGGCTTTTAACCGAGGGGCGCGGTGCGTGTGGCTTCGCCGGCGGGCGCTGCCTTCTCGGGGTCCAGCTGTGGGCAGAGGGGGACCAACCAGCGGCCCGAGGGGCCACCGGAGCCTCCTCTCCCCATCTGCTTGTCACCCGCGGCGGCCGCAGCCACCCCTGGGCAAGCGCGCGTCCGGGCACTGTGGGGACTGGGCGGGAAGGTGCCTGCAGACTACCCTCTGCTGTTAACCTGGAAGGCTGCTGGCAGTTTTTCCTTTTTTCCACCACCCTGCTCTTTTTAATGGTTGTACATAATCAGTGTATTTGTTTTACGTGCTCATCTTCTAAATGGGTGGGCCTGTAGTTCATTCTCATTGTTAGACTTTTGCCTCCTACAAGTGTACCCTAGCTACAATAAACTCTTCCTTCTCGAAAAAAGCGATCAGGGTGGGCAGAGGTCCCTGTGTTGTTGTTTTGCAAAGGCTGTGTGATCCAAGCAGCACCTCCTCGACCCAGGTTCTGGCCGGTGCCAGCGTCGGCTTCTGTGAAGTCTTGGGGCCACCACAGGAAGAGGTGTTTGGGCAGAACACGCGGCTGTGTCTTGGTTCAAGTGTATTTGATTACAGGTGCAGAAACTCACATAACAAGGGCTCAAAAGTTAACGGGGATTATTCGTGTACAGCAAAGGACTCTAACGGAACAAGTGAGAGAGAGTCAGGCTTTAAGGGAACCGGGAGTCAGGGCACTATTCCCATCTGTCTCTGTCGGTCTTTCTCAGAGATGGTGCTGTCTCCTGTCTCTGCTTCTTTCAGTGTTATTTTGGTTCTTGGTTTCTGCTCCCTCATAACATCTGCTTGCCTGTGGCTCTGGCTTAGCCTGGAACTGCTTCTGTCCCCAGCTTCTCAAGGCTGGACAATGCCAGGGCTTGAATCCCTCTCTTTCAGCTCTGGATCTCTTCATTCGAATTGCTGGGCAGTGATTTCTCTCTGGGCTGCTGCTGAGCCAGGATCCAGCCCATCCACTTGGAACAAAATGCACATGGGCTTCCTGGTCGCACAGCTCCGGCAGGGGTAGTCCTCAGGAGGTGGGTGCTGACGGACAGATCCAGAACATTCTGCTTGTCATTCTCCTCACTGACTGGTTAAAGAATAAGCTTTATCATGGCTTCCAAGAGAAAAATTTGTGTTAATGGAAGTGAAAAGCTAATGTAAAAGAATGGAAGAGAAAAATGAAAATAATAAAGACGAAAATAGAAAAATGACAGAGTGAAGGCTCCAGAACTGATCAAAGCCTGAAACCTGACTCCCTCTCTGAAACTATGAGGTTCAAAGATGTTTGCTAAAGACTTAAGAAAATAAGTGGCCAGGGCAGTGACAGGAGCAGGAGCACCTTCTGTCCAGCACCTGCTCCACCCTCTGTGCCCCCTTAGAGGGCCTGGGGACAGGAGGTATCCTGACTCCGGTGTGGCAGTGTGGCCAAGTGGTTCTTTTGTGATTATCTTAATCCCACAAACACCGAGAGCGGTAAGTGGTGGTCAAGGAGCAAGGCCAGAAGTCAGGTGACATAACCCAGGTCATAGAATTGGCAGGAGATGGCACCACAAGGCGGTTTCAGATTCCACAGACGCCAAAGCTGTGCTCTTTTGGAGACAACCAGTCATCCAGGGTAAATCAGGGCCTGGCCGTCTAGTGCTGGTCCTCAGTAAAGGCCACACCACAAGCAAGTTGTTCATTCAGCCACACCCTTAGCAGACGTGTACTGAGCTCTTGTTCTGGTCTGAGAATCCAAGTGAAATACAGGCACTTGATCACTGGGTTCCTCCGCTCCCGCGCAGTGAGAGAGGCGTGTGTTTGGTTTCTGTTCATTTGCTTCCTCCAGCAGGGGACCCGCGTGTAAAGGAGCTGACGTTTGAACAGGAAAGCAGTGACCTGCCGAAGCCCTCGTGGGAGGCCTGCTGGGCTCAACCAAGACTCAGTGTGTTTGCCCTCTTCAGAAAGATTGCTAGGATGTGGAAATGTACGGAATATATGAATATTTTCAGGACTAAGACTGTGAAATGTGAATTAGGAGAGCATGAGGACAGTTCGGAAGAGATGAACCATATTGAAAAAGTCTGGTCAGTGATGCCGTCTTGGAGGAAGACCTCTAGAGTAGCGGGCCATCCCATGGAAATGCAATGTAAGCCACGTGATTTAACATTTTTCTGGTACCACATTAAAAAATGTAAAATACAGGTAAAATTAATTTTATAGTTTCTCTAAGCCAGTATACCTAAATATATCCAAAGTATGATTTCAATATGTAATCAGTGTAAAAAAGCATTGGGAAATTTTACATCCTTTGTAGTAAGTCTTTGAGCTCCTGTGTGTTGACGTGTGGCACATCTCAGGTTGACCAGGCACATGTCAGGCGTTTGACAGGCATGTGTGGCTCTGCCTGCCATACTGGACAGTGCGGTGCTAAGGAAAGGCCACGGCCCTTAGTCTTCTCATCCTCGTTTTGCTTTTGCTTATGATGCTTATGTCCATTGCTTTAAATGGGATGGACTGCCTTAAGATGATCTCACCAGGTCAGACACGGATCAAACCTGAGGTTGAAATCAAAGTGTGACGTCCTGAGATTGTATCCTGAAACAGTGACCAAGGTTTGGAACTCACTGCTTCCCAGGAAAGATCTGGAGGGGAGAATTTCAATAAGCACCATTTCCTTAGGCGCCAGTGGAACTGCTTGCCCATTAGCGTGACCTGAAACCGTGTCCCGAGCCATCTGTGCAGATGGTTAGCTAAGCCTGCCTAGATATGCTTCTACTCTGGGGCGTCGGGGCTGTGGTGCAGGTAAAGTAACCATCACCCAGAAGGAGGCAAGAATGGCGAGGGGCCTAGAGCCCAGGCAGCCGAGGACTGGTGGGAAGGGAGAAATCAGAGCGCCCTCGGCTGGATGTGCGGCTAGGGAAGGGACTGCTCTGCGGCAGCAGGTGGTGGTTTACTCTGGTGGCTCTGGATGGTGGCCCGAGGTCCATGGGTCGGAGGCACGAGGGGTCAGGCGTGAGTGCAGAGTTGGAGGAAGCGTGGTCCAGTGACAGAATTAGCTGCTTTCTAGAGGAGTGATCATCTAGTTTTTGGCGACACCTAGATGCGAAATAATCACAAGAGTTTGCAGTTTACGGAGTATCTCATCCTGTCTTGTTTCAGCTATGCCACGGCCCTGAGACAGAGATGCTAATATCCCTCCTCAACAAGTGAGGAAACTCGATGGGTTGAGAGCTGCTGGAGCAGGGACTTGCCTCTCCGGGCCCCGAGGGCAGGTGTCCCAAGAACTGGCCTGCCCCTCCAGGTGATCAGAGAAGAGTCAGTGGGAGCGTCTGTGTCAGGAGGTGGGCTGGGTGGGGGAGACGCCTGACAAAGAGTAGGAAATCGCAGCAGCTAAGAAGTTATCAGGGCAGGAGCGTGAGTTCTGTTAGATGAAGAAAGACAGTAGTTTGTCCCGAGGGAGGCTGATGGGTGCGACTTCAGTTAGTTCTGACCAGTGGATTTTAAGGGGCTATTTTACGATAAAACCCGCAGCCTTGAACTCAAAGGCAGTTCGATGTCAGGATGTGTTGCTATCCTCAAATGGCTGAGGGGAAGAAAGAGGGTGGATTTGGTACAGAGACAGTCACCTGGTCCTGCCAGGCCCCTTCCCAGCAGAAGCCTCTTTCAGCGGGGGCAGAGGTGGCCCCGAGGGCCTCCGGGCAGTCAGGAAGGTTTCAGCCGGGGGAAGGGGGGCCCTGTCTGCGCTGATGCTGAGGTCCAGTCTGAGAAACGTCTCCAGATGATCCAAGCCTGCAGCTACAGTGCAGCCAGCTGCCTCTGCCCGGCTCCCCCAGAATCTTGGTTCTGGCAAGGAAATAGATCCCTTAACGTGAGACAGGAAAATAATGGTTTTCTGCCATTTGCCCGCGTCCCCCTCTCTCTGCTCATCTCTAGCTACCCGCCTGCTCTAACACTGTGTGCTCTAAGCCCTCGTGCTTCCTCCCAGTGATCTAGCAGTATTTCTTAAATCGCAGAGCCTCAAGGGCTTGATTGGTGATATTTCAGGAAGAATCAACGCTATCAGTGAGGAAAATCTTATTTTCTTGAGGCGATGCCTTTTAACACACCGCACCGCCGCCAGCTGAGGGGCCACCCTGTTTCCCGCCTGCTGCAAATAATCTCGTTTGGTTCCAAACCACCTCAGTTTTGACCTCTTTTTCCTAATTGGTCTACATGTATTTGAAATACTTGTTTTTGAGTAGACCTTCACATACACCGCACCAGCAGGTTCTGTCACTAAGCCCTCGTGCGGACGTCGGCTGTTTCACGAGTGTCCGAGGGTCCCGGCTCCGCGGTTGGGGGAAGCCCAGCTGTAAAGCGTGACTTTGTGTTTCAGTTGCGTTCTCATAGTCGTACGTTTTAAAACAAGGCAGTGGAGGCACCAATTTTCTTCTTAGGCTCCAAGAGGGAAGTGCTTCATTAACTTTGCTTTAGGCTTATTACAGTGGGTAGCTGAAGTGTCACGTGCCTGGCCCAGGACTTGGGTGTCCCTAGCTAGTTTTCTTCTACCATTTACCCTGAAGGCTGATGCTGCAGGCTGACAGCAGTGGGGTGCTCGTCTGCCAGTCACTCGGGTACGTCTTTGAGTCTAAGACGTCTTCTCCCTCCCCCACATTTACCATCTATTTTCCTGGTTAATGGTCTGTAAAACACTGGTGGATCTTAGACGGGACAGTGTACACAGTCCCTTGTTTGGTCATTTGTTCGACACGGGTCTAGTGTGCTGATTGCTGAGTCTCAGTAAGAGGGAGCTAGCTGGCCAGTCTTCCTTCGAGAGAGTCTCATTGGTGGTGGTTCAAAAACTGTGACTGAACTAGGGTTTGACATCATCTTCGCAAACAACTGTTTTATGATTGTTTCAAAATTAGGAGTGAAAAGGGTATTTCCAACAAGTCAATTACAGATACTATTTTACTTAACTTTTCTGTCAAACTGAGTTGTTCCATTCCAAATCTCTGCTTTTAGAGAAAAGCTGAATGTGTAGAAAAAAGGGGGGGGAACCCCTTTACATAAGTTGCAAGAGAAACAGAGATGGAATATCAGTTTCATCTAAGAGTTCACAACTTACAAAGAATTTATTAATGCAATACAGACCTTTTCTCAAATATTTTTCACAGAATTCCACACAGCAATCTACTAGAAAAGTAGAATTATACAACACCAAAATAACATTTTCTTAGTACAAATTGCTAATCAAAAGGAAGGTGAAGATTGTAAAACAAGTGTTGCTCAATATAGCACACGGGAGCCTCAGTTCTGGGACCCGGGGCGGGGGGAGCCCCAGCAAGGGCGCGGGCACGGCCGGCCCTCGGGGGGGAGCTTTGGTACTTACATTTACTTTAAAAGAAAGAAAAACAAAGGTTGTGAGCCCCAGAGCATTTCCATCATTTCACATTTTGGTGTGCTAAGAAGAGGACAGATGAGGAAAACACTGTAAATATTTCACACTTGCTACAACAGTAGATCCTTTATGTTACCCACGCAGTAAAATAAAATAGCCTCCCCCAAACCGTAATGTTCTAGGTCTAAGACATGCTTGAAGAATAATATTGACAGAAATAATTTGAGATGTTTTAAATTACATTTACCATAATTTAAACATTACTATTTAAATCCCAGAAATTTCACTGCTGCAGAAGCACAATTGTCTGGAAAAATACAGGAGCCAAAGTACAGCATAACATTCCCTCATCCCAGTGTCATAACCCAGGTCCCTACTGTTACGATCATACATTTCTCGAGAGTGCAGGTAAATGGGAAGTGTTTTTTCCCATAATATAACTAAAATAAGTGGGTTTACTTGCCCACTGTATATTTCCATAATTGGTGAAAATAGACTTCTTGTTATGACTAAAAATATAGATTTTTTTAAAACTACAGAACCCAGCAGCCAGTTTTCTGCTTTGCCATCCCCCCCAAAAAAGTCAAGCAAAGTCTACAAAAATAGCAATTAACTTTAAAAAATATTTTGCTTCTTAGAGCAAATTTAAGTTACATTCAGGTGTGATAGCTGTTTGAGGCTCGGGGTGCGCCCCCTGCCTGGGGGGGGGGCGAGGCTGAGGCACAGCCGCCTCCCTCAGTAGCGGGTTTGGTACTCGTGGTGCCACCGGTTAAAGTCGTTGTAGAACAGGACGATGCTTCCCGAGGCCATGCCAGAAATGATGCACCTGGGGACACAGAGAAGGAGCGGTTCGCAGCCTGTTCATTTCCGAGGGACTAAAGAAAGAACTGCCCTCCCAAATCCACAAGGTGAATACAGAAGATGGCAGCCAAAACTACGATCTGTGAGAACCAAGGTATGTTTTTCGATGACTAAAATGCAGTCTTGAGTAAGCTGAGTCGCTCCTCTGACACAGCACAACAATCCAGCTCACAGCTTGCCTTTATACCGCCGGTACAGCCAGTACGTTCAGGATGGGTCACTAACACCTGAACAGGCTACATAACTCTGGGGGGGCAGGGGGTGCTGCTGAGTCCAGATCTGAATCTGGTATCACAATCTATCTGTTGGTGGAGGAAGCGGCACACGATCAAGTGACAGAATCTCTCTGATATCAGGAGAGTAAGAAAGCAGAGGGTGGGCCATAATTTAGGCTGGGCTCTGCTCCACAGAAGAATGTGCTCTGTCCATCATGTGGAGAGTAGGAACTTCAGCCTTATAACACAGTGACTCACTGAAATGATCATTATAGATGAGAGCCGCTGCTTGCTTCCCCTGTCCCTGAGCAGGCAGTGCAGGGAGAGAGATGGAGCAGTAAGACAGGAACTTTAGAGGAGCCTCTCCTGGGGGCAGAAGCCTATATAATCTGAGACCTTTCGCTGTATGGCTTGCTTAGGACAGTCCTTAGATGTCATATTTAGCATCCTTAGTAGTACCTGATTATCAAAATTAGGAATGAAAATATGTCACTACAAAAAATCAACTAAACACAAAAGAATGCAGTAATGAAATGAGAAACAAAGTTCTAAGGCATGTAGAAAGCAAAGCAAATTGTCAAATGGCAAAATACTTTGCTTATCAGTAATTTAAAGGGATTAAACTCTGATCAAAAGGCAAAGAGACTGGCAAAATGAATAAACATGATCAGACTATATGCCGTCTACCAGAGACTCAAGGATCTACAGACAAAAACAGGTGAAAGGATGGAAGGGGATATTCCACACAAATAATGAAGAGAGCTGGGGTGGCTACCCAAATACTAGACAAAATGGGCTTTAAGTCAAAATATATGACAGGACACAAATAAGGACACTATACAGTGATAAAAGGGGCAATTCATCAAGAAGATACAGCAATTAATTACTAACGTATGACCAAACAGCAGCGGCCCCAAGATACATGGAACCAGCACTGACAGAACTGAAGGGAAAAACAAACAGCCCTACAGTAACAGCTGCAGACTTGCATGCCCCACTTTCATTAATGGGCAGAACCACCAGAAAGGACAGTAGGAAACAGAGGAGCTGAACAATCCTAAAAACCAACCGGACCCGACACACAGATGCACACTCACCCAACAACGGCCGAATAAACAGATTTTTTTTCTCAAATTCACATGGAACATTCTCCTAGATAAAGTATTTCTTCTAGTCGCAATAGAATTAAACTAGACATCATAATGGAAAACTGGAAAATGCATAAGTTTGTGGAGGTTAACCAATTGGTCAAAAAAAGAAATCTCAAAGGAAATTACAAAATATCGACTCAAACGAAAACAGACAAGCCAAAACTTCCAAGATGCAGCAAAAACTGGAAAACTTATGGCTATAAACACATTTATTAAAAAAAAAAACTTTCACCCAATTCTACACCTTAAAGAACTAGAAAAAAGTATGAACTAAACCCAAACATAACAGAAGGAATGAAATAATGAAGATTAGAATGGAAACAGAAGCTGGAAAAACAGAGAAAATCAACAAAATCAAAAGCTGGTTTGTTGAAAGGTCAAGAAAATTTTAGACTAAGAAAAAGACTCAAATTACTAAAATCATAAAGTGGAGACATTATCACCACCAGTTTTATTACAAATTTATATGCCAATAAATTGGAAAACCTAGATGAAATGGAAAAATTCTTAGAAACACATATTCCAAAATTTAATCATGGAGAAATAGAAAAATCTGAATAGACTCATAACTAGTAATGAGATTGAGTCAGTAATCAAAAACCTCCCAACAACAAAAAAAAGCCCTGGACCAGACAGCTTCACTGGTGAATTCTACCAGTCATTTAAAGAAGGGTTAACACCAACTCAAACACTTCTAAAAAACTGAAGAGAACAGTTCCTGAGTCATTTAATGAGGCCAACATACCCTAACATCAAAGTCAAAGACACTACAAGAAATTAAAGATCAATATTTCTTATGAATAGTGATATAAAAACCTTCAACAATACTAGCAAACCAAATTCAGTGGTACATTAGGAGGATCATACACCATGACCAAGTGGGATTTATTCTGGGAACAAAAGGATGGTTCAACATACAAAAAAAAAAAAATCGATGTAGTATATATATCATACCAAGACAA